GTAAGGTCAATTCCTTCACTTGATTTGTTTAAAAAAACGCTAAGAATCCGACTTAATTCCTTTGTTTTTTATTCTTTAAAGGAATTCTTTGATATTTTCCAGGAGTTTACGTAGTTTAGTATTTATTAATTTTTAACTTTACATGTATATTTATATTTTCTTGTTGTTTGTTTACGCTTGTTTATAATGTTTGTAAATTTTTTGAATTATTCAACACCTCTCTGGTAAAGAATAAAGGTATCTATCTATCTAAAATTTGTCATGGTTCAGGAATAGGCCGCCTGTCCTGTATGTTTGTGATCCTGTCCTGATTATACAGTCTGGCTACGGCCCTGTTTTGTATAGTTTAGTTTATTTTATTTTTACTACTATTTTGTTTCTTTTCTTGTCCTGATGAACCCATTTATCGTTGAAAGTGTTGAAATTTTAGGAATCGATTGAGTGAAAAGATCCCAACACTTTTATTCTTGGCTTTTTAGTTCAGGTTCTGTATTCTGTTGACGAAGTGATTTTTATTTCTTTAATTTTTGCCTTTTTAGTATTTTATATACGCGCACAGTGAGTGACAAGTTTGAGAGTAAAGATGACCGCACCAACATTTGAGTGCAGGAGATATGGGCTACCGTAAGACTATTTTCAAAATGTGTACTGCACAATCCAATAAGCATCCGGCACAATTTATTACCAACATTGTAAAAACCTTGGGGCTAAGAATCGAGTTGGCCCCTGTGTTTAAATTCAAGAAAAACTGATTTTCTAGGTCAGAACAAATTAAAATTGGAACAGCACAATTTAGCACAACACCAGCACTATTTAAAATTTTTCATTGCACATTTTTTAATTGCGGGAGGCTTTGGAACAAACCTTGCTCACCTATTGCTACATGCAAAAATTGTTTTTCCATTTATTATAGCCTAACGTCATGGACCATAAAACATCTAGCAGCCACTTATATCTTATTAAGATATGATTTCCTGAATTTACACGCTTCTTATGTTGAGTCGATTCTTATCTACAGCAATATACACATTTCATAAAGAAATACCAACATTTGAAGCACATATAATTCCCTACCTATACAAACTCAATTTGTAATAATAACACCTCACATGTTAGTCTTATTGACATTCAGTGGCGTTTCTTTGATTTGCTATCCGCATACCTTTCTCTCGCTTCCTTCAATTTATATAAACAAGGATATGAATGTAAACCTAAAAATATACTTCCAGTTGTTAATGGTATTATTAGCAATTTGGAACACGCTATGCAATTTTCTTTCGAATTCTGAACATATTCGCCTGTACAAATTAACGTTTAATTCCACAAAATCACGAATTCAAATCATATTTATAGCTTATTCATTTCAATTTACCGAAAAGTAATATGATTTCCCGCCTATATCCACATATATATTTTCCATCCATCAAAAAAGCGAACCGTTCGCCAACTATAACGCGTGCTTTACGTAAACACGACCAAATTATTTAAATTAGTGCTGTTCTTTTAAAATTAAAAACAATGGGTTCAGCACGAGTGCCTTAAACTTAAAGCGCATAGGTGGCCCGAATCAGATAAAAAATCTGTTTCAAATTCTCCAATTTGCGTCGGAATCTGTTTACGATGTGACAATTAGGTATTCTTTAGTGCTAATACCTTTGAGATGCCGACAAAGACTAACGCCGGAACCTAAATATAACAAGAATTTAGTATAATTTTTTGTTCACTGTCACAATACGGCCAACGCGTTTAATGGATTTTATAATGGCAATAAAGTATAAACTTGTAATTTAAATAAAATTTTGAGCAGATTTATTCGACTAGATTCGGGGAGTGACAATAACAGCAGTCCTAATGTCAATTTAAATACTGCCATTGTGGAGCCACCCCAAAAGATAAACGTTTATAAAAACTAATAGCCAAAGGTATGTTTAAATGCCTATATCCGTGTTAGAATTGGTACCATTGCGGAACGTTTAGATTAAATTGAATGATAATTACTGCCCCTAGATTATAGATGAGCTGTATGGGTTACGGGTGGTTTCCATTGAAGATTTTAGAAAACAACTTAAACGTCTTCATTTCCTTTTCCTGTGGCAGCTGTGAATTGTGAAAGTTTTCCTGGGACAACCCTCGTCTATCTACGTGAGAACAGTGAACACTTCGTCACTTTGTCATGATCCATTAAAATATACAGTAAATGAATTAAAATCTCATTCATCGTAGTTATCATCAGCTGACTTAATAAATCTTAGCATATTTCTGTGAATGGAAAGCCACGGATCCCACTTTACAATTCACAATTATCTGTAGTAGATAAATGGTGTTTTCACATGTCGAGAAAATTATAGGTTGCGCGATATTAAATACAATGGAAAATAATTTTTGTGGCATTTTGGTAAGACACCCAAGTTATGACGTCACCCATAATTGCAATCTCAAAGCCAACCGCCAACTCAATCTGGGTGTTCCATCAAATCGTTTCGCCTACACGTAATAAGAAGAAACGGAATATATTTTATCATGTAACGTTGAGGTAAATACAATGTATTTGTACGCAAAACGCCGTTAGTTCAGGTCACCTACAACTGAACCAAGATCAACATTGCATATTAGATACAATAAATCGGCGGTGCAGAGCAAGTCTTTAAATTTTTCTTGCAAAATGGAACAAACATTACGACTATTGACAGCTGCCACAATGTGTCATAAACGTTTAGTTATTACCCTGCACATTTTGTGTTTTACTGCAGCAATAACGTTTCGTTTAAGTACGGAATTATTGGTTGCAATATCTATAATGGCTTATTGTAAATTTTACTCGTCTTATCTTTTGTAAAGTAGTCGGAAGTTATGACATGTGCCACATGCGGCATTTTCAATGTCTTTACGCTGGCCTACAAACCATAAAATAAAGGCGATTCTATTTCTATTCGCCATTAATCCAATGGTTTAGTAAACTGCCTTTTAACGTGCTTTAGCTTTACAACCTTTCCTTTGCGTCTAAATTATCATAATGTATAAGCATGTATAAGTAATGAGAGATATTGAACGTATTATGATAATTATGAATACAACAAAGTATCACGGTATCGCTTAATTGATTTGAAGGACAATGCGCATGTAGTAAAGCAACAATGCTTCCTTATTTTACGTTACATACTGGTCTAATTTTTTGAATAAGAAATCATCCATCGTATGATCGACAGTAAACTCTCTCTATATTTCTTGTTTTGAGGACAATTCTTTCTTGTTCCCTAAAGAGCATGTACACCATATTCCAAAGGTCGTGCATTTAGAAAGTGCACATGGACGGACAGAACGAATTAAGCAAAACTATAAAGGATATACAGGGTGTTCATTTGAAACCCTCCCACCACTGATTTATCGAAAGCCATTGATTAAAGGAAAAAACGCAGACACATCAAAAAACGTATCAAAGTGGACAACTTTTTAACCAAAAACTACTGCACCCCCTTTCACCCTCTACCCCTAGGGTCATTCCCTTAAAAAAGGTCTTTGAAAGTCCTTTATTGTGACGTTTGATTTTTTAAAATCGGCCGAACTGTTTTTGAGGAAATTAGAAACAATTGTATCTAATTTATTTAATCGGCCTATCGAAAATATCGCTTATTTGTTGCTATGGGAAAGAAAGAATTTAATTTGCTGTCAGTTGCCTTTGTGACAATCTTGGGATAGTGAAAATTAATTTATTAATTCAGATTTTAAGTTTCTCGAAAACGAATCAACCGATTTTTAAAAATCGAGCGTCAAAATAAAGGGCTTCGAAAGACCTTTCAATCAAGCTCTGCGTTTTTTTCCTTTAATCAGTGTGCCTCTAAAAAGGGCTATCATGAAAAGTTTTTCATTTCATTTTAGTAAATGAATCTTTCCAATGAGGTGTTATTGGCCGGTGAGAACTTCTGCTTTTGGGACTGAGAAACAGAAACAATTTTTCTTTAAAGGGTTGGATTTTTGACTAGAGCTGTGAACTTAATATTTAAAAAGTTAAGCGGGTTTTGCGTCTTCCAAATGTCAAGAAAAATACCTCTATTTTAGAATAAGGAATCGAACAACACTCGTGTTAAGGGTTTTAAAAAGTTGTTTCAGGTGCAAAAGTACGATAATCCCCTTACTTACAAAGTTTCTTAAACCTTTGCCGTTTGGGGTGAATATATGTTTTGTAGAATTGTAAACTTCCGAATAAAACGTTGGATGGTCCTTCAAAGGTACAGAAACTTTTTATAGTAAAATTTGTGAATTTAATCTTGGTGGTAGTTAAGAATTCAGATTTTTCCGAACCCTTTCAAAGATTTATTAAGGGACATTTTGGTGAGCTCCCATGATGTTAATTAGAATTGCACACTTCTTTAAAAGGTTATTATGAATATAGGGAAAGTTTCTATAATTCTAACTCTGAATATACAGAGTGAGCAACAAAGATTGAAGCGTGCCGCTTCAGCTAAATTGGCAATGTGCCGCTCATAGCATATGTTGATTTGATACAAGATACGAAATACGAATAGACGCACGTCACTGTGACAGCGCAGAACGTCATTTTCGTATACAACTCCATACAAAGAAGGTAGTTTTGATATTAATAGGAACAAGCGGTGATGACGCACGCTTCAATCATTGTTGCTCACATTGTAGAAAATTAAAGGGGTTCGTAGAAAAGAAATCTTTAGGTTATTACATTCAGTAATATTGTTCATTTTCATTTAGAACCCTTTAATACAGTTTTTCTAAAACCTTTAACACGTTTGCTATCGCTAGCGAGTTGCAGTTCCCCATACTTCTTGCAATTATAGCAGCTGCTAACCAACAAAAGGAAAAATTAAAACTATGTAAAAATTATGAGATTTTTGACCAAATATAGGTACTGCTCTCAAGCCACACTATGACTTTTCTCGGGGAGAAACGAGCAATAACTACCTAAACATTATCTGGTGATATAGATCGTATTGAGACAATTCGTAGGTATTTGCTAATTAAAAATGGAATACGTTTTAAACATTTATTCATTAATAGCAACACAGATTAACTATCTGTGATAGCAGTTATGACAATTACTATATATCGAGGTTCAACGGTTATAATAGAGCCGCATCATACCATCATAGTCATCATCATGGAGTCTATCTCGTCCACCACCCATATACGCGGGGTACATTATAGCTTCCTTTACGTTTGAATGTCCCAACCCCATGGAGTGACCCAATTCGTGGATAGCCACGCTGTAGAAGTCATAAAAACCTAGAAAATTCAAGCATTAGATATTATAAGATCGGTATAATTAAAAAATGATTTACCCTCTTTGCCTTCCAAATCCCACTTTTCGGATAAGTCGAAATGGATGTCGCCATCATCAGGGAAGAATGCATGGGCTAAGGTACCATCTGGTCCATCAAAAGGATAACTGCGGAATTTATTGTCAGCAACTGTATTTGCTTACACCACATTTATACTAACCCATCTCCATGATTATGGCTGCCAAAGTAGGAAACGATATCAGCTTCCGATTCGTTGTAGACGCGGGTGAAAGAAAGAGCGCCATATGGGCCCCAAACTCCCAAAGCGGCTGCAAAGTAGTCTTCGTATTGTTTTTGGGTTATGTAGCTAGTTCCAGTTCCAATGCTATTAATAATAACGCCAATTACTCAAAGTTCGTTTTCAAAAGGCATACCTGTATGTTAGATCTCTCTTGCTCCAGGCTTTGTACGCATGGTATCGCTGTTTGCCGTTCTCATAATCGGCAACACCACAACGAGGTTTCTTGGTAAACTATAAAGGAAATGAGTTTTTTTTGCTTGTTTAATCCGTCATTACCTCAATGGTAGCTTCATCTATAACACCAGTTTCGGGAACGTTGGCCATTTTTTGCAATTTTTTGATGGCATCAGATAAACTTGCTCTGTTTTGAAGATCATCTTTTGCTGCGTATCCAAATCGCACCAAATAATTATGCTAGATAGATTTAAAAGAGTGGTTAGTTGGTACGTAGGGATAACAAATGATAAAAACTTACAACTTGATCTTCTGCGCTAATTGCAGGAGCAGCGTACGCGCCTAAAACAAATTGCGTATTATTATTTTAATAAAATAGAAGAAAAATGTACTATACCAGCGGCGAAGATAGCTAAGGTAACGATGAGTAAACCGTTCATGGTTATTCTTCGAACACCTTTCGAAAAGTGATTCTAAATGGCATGGAGCAGCCTTATATACTAGAGACTGAAGAGGTTTCGATAAACCTTTTTTGTTATTTGATAAGTTGATGAACGAAAATTATCATTCCTCATTAAAATCGACGTACCGTAGTAAGTGAAATTGTGTAATTTAGAGTAGTCCTCGAAGTTAAAATGAGTGTTAGACAAGATAACAAATTTATCTATTACCCCAACAGCACTGACTCTATTGTATACTGTAACGTAAATTAAATTACCTCGTTTATTTATTTACACGCAACGATGTTGGAACTGAACCAAAATGAGCCACAATTTGCGTATATAGTAAACGACAATTGTTCTAGAATGTTCTTAGAAAGATTCGGAATGTTTTAGAATAAACACGTCATTTTTCCCGGAAGGATTGCGACACATCCGCCTATGTTGTTTGTCGTCGATGACTATTCTTTCATGGTGACTCGGTGTCTATCGGGATTTCTGGAATATTCGCTACAATATGATTTGCACATTCACAAAATTATATAACTGTCCCATATCTAAGCCAGAATTATTATTTGAATGACCTAGCTTCTAAGACAAATTATGCGTTCTATTGCATTACGAGAAATAACGGACCTAATGACCTATTGACGCAAATGTAATGGTTACAATTGGATTGGATCGTATGTAACCAAACGTTAATCAAGGAATCAACGAAAATAACAAAATTTACCTTTGAATTGTGGTCCTAGCGGCCATCTGAATTCACCAGGGCGCGACCTGCAAATCAAATCGTAATATACCTACTTACAGTTCCGGAGCAAATACTAGTTACCTCTAGTTTCCCTACTAGTTTCCTCCACGTCGAGGCCACTTCCCTTTCGCCGTAAGCAGCTGATGGTCAATTATTACCTTAAAATTGTAAAAAATAGAGAACATCCAAACCGCGAGGAATTTGTTGAAAATGTAAGAAGGGCACGCGTGCACATCATTGGGCAAGGGAAGCAAGAGCGGGACTTGGTCTGTCAGACCGAGAGGTATTGCATCTGTCAATGACAACACGAAAGGCACTTGTGATACGGAGAATGTGAGAGTACTGGGGAAAACAATGGTCAAACACAGATACTGCTGCGAGAAATGATGTAATGTGATTGTAATGATTTGAATGCATAACATAAAATTATAACAACAGTATTGAGAAAATATGTAGCATGTAGGCTTCAAGAGGGAACATAGAGGTTAAAAACAATTTTTGGGGAAAATGGATCAGGTAAGCAGGTACCAACATTCTAAGAAAGGGTGACATACACAGGATTTGACTCATCTTTGGTGCAATAAAAACCTTTTGTTAAGAGCAAGATGGAAAATTACATGGCCTTGTAGGCAAATTTAACTAAGGACAAAATATGTGGAAATCATTGAATCGCAACTCGTATATCACACATAGATTCTAAACCGAAGACTTGATTAGCGCAATCTTGCCTCAAGATAGGTAACTCGCTCCTAGTTTCGGGGTTTTGAGCCTACAGTTGAATGTAGAAGACACATTGATTTATTATTAAACATGTGAAAAGCAGAGCGCGCGCATGCGCAGAAGTAAGGCTTGTTTATGAGCCGATTTTACTGAAATTTTAACAGTAGTAGCTTTAGTGGAGGCAACTCGATCGATTACATTAAAAAAGTTAAAAGCTGCTTTTGCGCATGAGTAAATTTCTTATTTTTGGATTAATTTTTGTGAAATTTAATGGTACCTTTTGTAAAATCAAATTGAACGTCCAATTTAAATTTCAAATAAATAAAAGCTAGACAAACCGTGTAGCTAAAACAGAATAATATAGATTATAAACAATTTAACATTTGCTGGTATCTCAGAAACTGTGTGCAAAAGACACACTTAACGCTCAACCAACCGAATGCCTTCGTGAATTGATTTGAATTGAACGTAAAGATTTCACTGGCGTTCAAAGGGCATGTGGAGGCATTGAAATTAAACAAGACGTACAATAATAATAAATTTTTGTTGGAAAGTACAGCGTAAAAGGAATATGACCATATGATATAATTGTAACGAATATTCCACAAATCTCAATAGAGATCGAGGCGCCATCAGAGATTAGTATAATCGACGATAAAGAACGAAGACAAATGCGACGTAATCTTTCCGAAAAATATGAAGTCCTATATAAGTAAATCGAACTGTATTGCAGTCAGTTCCAATTTCAACGCTATAGGTACCCAATTCAGAAAATAAAATTTATTCTGCTAACGTTAAAAATCTTTAACCATGTCTTTACATTGTAACCTCTCACAAACTTTTAACTGAGATGAGGGGCAAGTTTTCATTACTTACACAACCTATTTTATTTTTTTTTCTAATCGATTAATTAGGTACTACCCGAGAAACCCAGATTTTATATTTCTCAAGACCTCGGGAGCTATTTTCCTTCAGTGGGTAATAATTTTATGTCGTATAGTTCTACAAATGTTCGTTAAAACAACATGCACAATTATTACGAACCAAATTATTAACGCTGTTTACATTTTGAAATACTTTGTATCAATCACGTGACTAATATTTTTCCTTACCAAGTTACCACGTACCTCCTGCGGATAATCCTATTCTTGCTACTCCGTGGTAAAATGAATTCAAAATTTACCCATTTTTAGCGCATTTCCACAAAAATTAAAAAAAACGCGCTATTGTGGCCACTTTGTCCGTCCGTCCGTCCGTCCGTCCGTCCGGCTGTCCGTCCGTCCGTCCGTCCGCTCGTTTTGCGACGCTACTAGTTATTTATCTTAAGAGCTATTGTTCTACTTTTTTCGCTATTTGGTTCGTTATGGTGTCGAGGCTTGCACCAAGGAAGGAATTTTTTCTGCGTTTATTGCTAAAAAAGTTATTGTAAAAAAACCAACAAACCGTTTTTTACATGTTCCATAATTTTACACTTTTGCCGTTTATTAACCACCCTAGATATTATTTATAATTTTGTATTGTTGTTTGTCGTCTGTCTGTTGGTCTGTCCGTCTGTTCCTTTGCCTGTCTGTCCCTCTATCTGTCCGTGTGAACGATAATTTTGTTTAGAAATGTCCGATCGCTTTTACATCTCCGTTAGTTATGAACTGAATTGCATGAAATTCAATATGGGCATAGCCTTAGCCATATAATACGCAATGCCAAAAGTTGAGTCGAATCGATTCAAAATTCACAGTGCCCTTTTCGCATCTCGACAATTTATAAACCGAATTGCAAACTTTTTTTCTTATAAAAGTATTTGAATGAAATTTTATACATAGGCACTTGGAATAAAGGAAAATCTAACGCCAGTTTCAAAATTTGGTTTTGCGCATGCGCAGTGTCAACTTTTTTATTTATGAAAGCATTTAAATAAAATTTGATACATAGGTGCTTGGAATAAAGGAAAATCTAGCGCCAGTTTAAAAATTTTTATTTGTTACTCAGTTGTAAACGTTGATTAACAAGACAAAACGCAAACGGGTAAACGTCATGTTTAAACGCTACTGACTTGTAAAACTGACAGCAGACCTGTAAAACTGACAGCAGACCTGTAAAAATGTTACAAGTTAGTAATCGAGTAATTTCATTGGCCAGAATTAATGCGAAGTCTCTGTTACATGGATAACATGATATTTTAGACATTTCTTCAAGATTAATTTAAGAACTAATTATTTACGTTTACAAATGAGTAACAAATAAAATATTGTACATTATACGCCAGGTAATAGTTTTTACTGGCTCTAGGAGATGACAAGCTCGCCTAACGGCTCGCTAGTCAACTTCTCCTATCGCCAGTAAAAACTCACTTACCTGGCTAATAATGTAAAATACTATATTTTGCCCATGCGCAGTGCCAACTTTTTTTATCTATGGAAGCATTTAAGTGAAATTTGATACTTTGGCGCTTGGAACAAAGGAAAATCTAACATTAGTTTCAAAATTTAGGTTTGCGCATGCGCAGTTCCAACTTTCTTATTTAGAAAAGCATTGAAATGAAATTCTTCTTATAAACTGAAATTGAAATAGCATGTCAAAAATGGATTGCTCATGTGCAACGTTATCTTTCATATTTGTGGACGGATTTTTACGATTTTAACAGAAGTTGCATCTTACAAATGGGAAATGAATGCAAGTGGAAATGCGCTTTATGTAAATCGTTTACGATTACTTTTTAATTTACTTTATCGTAAACTGTTACAGCACCAGCCCATTTTCTGTTATTTCAATGCCCTTTTGAGATTATTTGAAAATCTGCCAATTGTAATTATTACATCACTAACCAACCGGTGCGCGGTGGTTCGACCGCGACAATGCTCATACTTTGGGTTGAAATACAAATAACAAGCCTTTATAATTAACACAGGGGTCGCGGTCAAATCACCCACCGTGTCGTTTAGTTTTAATAATTATATACAATTATCTGTTTTGAGTGACTATCTCTATGATGAAATTCTGGGGTGATATTCCGTTTCTCGCACAATCTTTTGTGCAAATACATGCACAACTAATAGGTACATACAGTGTAAACTAAAGAAATGTAAAATTTTCAGTTATTTTAATCAAACCATTAATTGAGGGTCGTGTAGTTTTGTATATTTAACTAACACACCCTTAAAAGTTGCCATTTGAAAAAGTAAACGCGATCGAAATCATATAATTGCAACATCGTACACTACAAAGAATCCCCATCAATTTAAAAGAGAGCATAGGCAACATATTAAATTATATTTGTAAATAATTAAATAGCAGCTTTTATGGCATTCTTTAATAAGAGTGGGAATATGATTGTAAATAATAACGAAAACATTATGCGCTATCAGTCGATCTTTGACATGCGAAGGTACAAATATCCCTATACACTACATTACTAGCCCAGGGATTCATTATCTGATCTGTTTAATGATAATTTTGTTTGTAACTATTCATTTGGTAAATTGATACGTGTGTATGATAAATGATGGATGTATTATTTAAAAACCACTATGTCGTTTTAAATGTAATCCATATCTACAGGCATAAAAACATCTTATACATATATACCTAACCATC